TCTATTTATACGTTCAACTTGGCCATTAGCCTGCGGTGATCCAGTGGCGTTCTTTACATGCTCAATGTTATTTTCTGATAAATAGCATTGAAATTCCTCCGATGTAAAAGCGGCGCCACGGTCACCAATCAATCTCTTCGGGCGGCTAAAATACTCAAAATATTTTTCTAGCGAAGCTATCACCTCCCTCGTATTCGTTGTATTACATGCGTACAACTTGACATGTGTCGTGAACGCATCGACAACAACTAAAATATGTTTCTTTTTTTGAAATAAGGGACGGAAGTGGGCCGAAATGGTCGATATCAATTGTATCAAAAGGAATGGGTTTCTTCGGAATGCTATGCAAACTTCTGTTAGAGCAATGGGCGGAATGGTATTTACAACACATTGTACGCAATTTTGTACAAAACGTTCCACCTTATTTTTCAATTGAGGGAACCAATAATGCATTTTTATTTGATCAATACATTTAGTCACTCCCATATGACAAATTTTGTCATGAGCTTGTCGTATTATATTTGTTTCCATTTCTTTCGGAATATACAGTAAAGCTTTTTCGCCAATTTTCTGCCTAAACACCAACCCGTCCTCCAGTGCAAAATTTTCTACATTCGCCTTTTCTAAAGCATCTCGTAGTTGAACAATGGTTGCATCTCGGTTTTGAAAAATTTGTAACTGAAGGTCTATGTCGGAAGGATTAATAAAAGTTACTTCTGCATCAAAATCCGTACCTATTTCCATGGGAGCAATAGGGTACCTACTCAATGTATCTACGTGAGTCATTTGGCTTCCACTACGATGCCTAATAGTGTAATCAAAAGCCTCCAGAAATAAGGCCCATCTAGCAATTATTGGGTTGGTTTTTTGTTTATTTAAAGTTTGCACCAGCGCTTCACAGTCGGTTACTATTGTAAACGGAATACCCAAATAAATTTCAAATTTTTGTACAGCATATACAACAGCCAATGTTTCTAATTCATAACTATGTAAAACCGATTCTGCTGCAGAAGTGGC